AAGGAAGGAAGGAAGGAAAAGGAAAGGAGGCAGGGGGGAAGGAAAGAAAGAAAGGACAGAAGAAAGCTCAGCCCCTTCAAGATACCTTCCCTACCTACCCCTGGTATCTCCAAATGAAAACCTTATCAGAATACAACAGAATAACGGTTTGGTTTCATTTCAGTTACGGCAATAAAAATAACCCTTCTGGATACTGTGTATACATTATCTCTTTTCATCCTTATGAGGCTGATACTGGCATCCCCGTTGCACAGATGAGAAAGCCACATCTTCGCGTTAATGGCCTGCTTCAGTCGGTAAGAGGAATCTGGTTGTGATCCCAGAGCCCCTGTGCTATCCTGCTTCTTCATTAAATACGTATTATTGTGACATCCTGTTTAGTAACCTGAGTATTTGGAGAAGAATGTTAAGGGCAAATATTCTGGGCAGAATTAGTCACCTTCCTCCCCCACTTTTTTTTTTTTTTAATTTTAATACCGCTTCAAAACATCAGCGAAAGCAACTGACAGAGACTCTTGGGGACTCTAAGGGAACCAGATAATGGCACGCTTGCCTGGACAGACTTAAAAGTCTTAGTTTAGCGTTCAGAGGGCAGGAGATGAGGCAAAATTCGCTCTTCCCCGCCCGTGACTCCTCTTTTCTGCCCACCTTCCTGCAGATTGAGATTCAGGCCCCTGGGAAATGGAGGATTGCATGAAATTCTTGGCCCCGGACAAGACCGTTTTCAGTGCCAGAGCCCCTTCGGGCTTTTCAGGGAGACCCAGGGCAGGAAGCCGGGACTATAGCACTTGTGGGCAGCTTGAAAGTAAATGTTACGTGAAACTGCAGTTCTTGAAGCATCTAGGAAAATCACACTCCTGGCCGTATTTTTCTCAAAAGCGCATGTTTCTTTCTGTTTCACTTGAAAACACACATTGACACAGCAAGTCACTGTTTCATTCATTTCCTGCCCTAAGTACCACTTTCTAGGGACTCTGAGCATGAAGTAACTTTTGGTGAGTCTCTGTGCTTTCTTCATCGAAAATCAGACCTGAGAGGTGAAGGGGGAAGCTGACCCAGAGATTCGATAAAATGTTTTATGATCGCTCATATAACCTCTCCCCAACCCCCACCCCCACAAAGTGTGAAAATAGAGAAAAAGTGTAGAATTGTGCTGGTGCTTGACTCCGGAATGATTTTTTTAGTTCCGGCTCCAAAAATAAATCTTCGAAAATTAAGTTTCGTTTATGTTAGCATTCGCATAAGGAGATAGTGCTGAATAGAAGATTCAAGCAAATAGGAGATAAATGGACCCACTGCCCTTTAGCTACATGACTTTGGCCATGTTATTTCTTCTCTGGAACCTCAGTTTCCCCCACCTGAGGTTACGTGGAGGTTAGATGCACATAAGGAGATGGGTTGACCAGTTGGGACATGAAGCCACATATACCACTCCCTTACTTCTGGCCCGATTTAATGTCTTTAGACTGTGGCCATGTGACTCCTCAATGGCTCCAGGACCAGTTGAGAGATTATTTGGTTCACTTACTGTGTTCTAGGACCTATGCCGAGCAGTTCACATGGACTATCTTGCTTCGCATCACAATATCCCTGAAAGATGGCTACCATATTAAAGATGGCGACACCAAGGGTGAAGATCCCCAAATGGTTGTTCTAAGAGGAAAAGTAGCTTTTCTACAGTTGAGCCCTAAAGGCTGTCCTGAGGTTCTGCCTCAGAATCTCACTCGGGATTTTTCATTTCTTCCCTCTGCTGTGTCCCAAGGACTGGCCTGCTCTCCTCCCTCTTGAAGGAGGCATCGTCCACCCACGGGGTGAGGAGAGGTGTTGTGAAGGCGGCTGGAGCATCCCCATCTCTGTGATGCCACCTTCCTTGTTAACCTTCAATACAATCATGTAAACTGGGTTTGTTTTTAGTTTCAAGAATTTCACTGCTGACGTATGAGGAAAGAGATGGGATAATAAAATTAACAAATGGGGTTATTATACACATCCTGGAATCCTAGAAGTTTTTTAGAGGCATGATTCCTGGTTCGTAAAGTTCTTGACTCTCTCTGAGACGGTAAGAGGGTGGTTCCTGGCCCATGTAGCGCTTCCTTCACTGTACCATTTCAAAACCACCACGACTATAATGAAATTTCCTTCCCAGAGTTTGCACAGATTAATGACAGTCCACATGGCTCTTACAGGACCAAAGAAAACTAGCCTAAGGGATAAATGCATAGTTCTAGATCTATGTATATGTGGATTTTTTTTAATTGCTGTATATAGTACTGATGAGGGACCATAAGGGAAGCTGAAGGCCAAGGACAAGCTAACACACGCCCCCCACCCCCCCCAATCCCACATGGGATATATGTGAGATTCCTCAGGCACTCCTGGCTGCCCAAGAACAAAGGAAAGGGCAGAAAACAAATAGTTAAACAGAGTCTCCATCAGTTTACAAATATCTCATCGATAGCCTAATCTCCAGGAACTGCTTACGGTCTTACTGTTACTGCTTTGCCAGAGGGAAAAACAACCTTACCTTGACAATAGCTAGGCCTCCAGTAATCTGTAAATCCTCTTTAGCGTGTGGAAATCCCTTTAAGAAACTTCCTCTTGACTTTACCTCCCCCACCTCCACAGTATATAAGCAGTCACTGTGCACAACCCCAGGGCAGCTCTTCCTGCCCACGCTTTTTTTTTGCACCAAAGACGTCTTGAAGAATTCTTTCTTGGCTGTTGGCTCTGAACCCCCACCAACACCCCAAAACCCCATCAGTATTATTATCTTGTATTAAAGACGATTACAATACCATTTGTAGCCTTAGAATTGGAAAACATGGCTCCATGCTGTGCCTCCTGGTTGACTCTATAGGCCTGGCCTATGATCATGGCCACTTAGTAAAATGCCTGCAAAAAACAATCAGTTGAGACTCAATATTCTTGTGAATTGGAAGCTAACTCGTTGATACAATCCTACATTACCTAGTAACTCCCCCAGAACAGGGATTTGCAACCCCATCCCCACCAGAGAATATCGCTAAGCAAAATGGTACAAACCTAAGAATCTCCAGTTTTGCTGGGGTTTTCTTTACACTCTCCTTTTTTCCTCCTTTCTATTTTCAAGAAAGTAAGGGAAGGGGCACCTGGGTGGCTCAGTCGGTGAAGCGTCCGACTTCAGCTCAGGTCATGATCTCGCGGTTCATGAGTTCGAGCCCCGCATCGGGCTCTGTGCTGACAGCTAGGAGCCTGGAGCCCGCTTTGGAATCTGTGACTCCCTCTCTCTCTGCCCCTCCCCTGCTAATGCTCTGTCTCTGTCGCTCAAAAAATAAGTAAACGTTAAAAATTTTAAAAAGAAAGTAAGGGAAGGTGTGAGACTGAGAGTGAGTGGTGGCGGCTGGAGAGAGGTTAGGAAGGAAGTTATTTTTAGGAAGGCTTGGGTGGGAACGAAAACTGGGCGAGTGGAGGCAGGGACAGCGCAGCCAGGGCACGGCTTGCTCGCCTGGAAAAGGTCGACCAGTTCCCTAGAACCTCCCATTTCTTCTCACATTCTCATAATCCTTCCTCACCAAGTCAGAGGAGGAAGTCAGCTCCAATGCCTGGAGGGGAGGTGGGGTGGCAGGAAGACACTGTCTTGTGCATGTTACCCGCCCCCTGCGTTCTTACAGGAGGAAGATTCGCTCACTATAGAAAATATAGGTGTGCAGGACAATCTGTTAGGCACCATAGGGATTTCACAAACATGACAGCTGATAGCTGCTCTCTATTTGCTGAGATAGCTTTTGAGCTGGTCTCTTTTTTTTTTTTGGTTTGCGTTTTTTTGTTTGTCTTCTGTTTTTGTTTTTGTTTTGGTCCCACGTTTCCTAAGTCAGTGACCCACAAAACAGCTTTCCCCTTCAAAACAAACCTTACCATGTCTGTAGTGGTTTTTTATTTGTAACGTGTGACCAGTTCTCAGTTATCCAGAATACCATAGAAGTATGTCATTGGGGAGAGAGAGGAAAAAAAAGATGTCATTGGGTTAGACCAACGGTGTCCTTCTCTAGGAGGTAAGAGGTAGGTTATATCTCCACGTGAAGATCAAGAGATTGTGAATTTAACTTGACTAAATCTATTTACTAGATTGTTTTATTTCAGTGCCTTGAATGGGTCTTTAAGGCCTTTGAATCCATTGACCTTCAACCGAATATTAACTAGAAACTTAATACTAATCATAAATAGCTCTCTCACAGGGGAGAGAGCTTTGTGTTATATTTGTTCTATCTAATCATAAAACAATGCAAAAAAAAAAAAAAAGACAAAACCAAGAATGTAATAAATGCTTTTAAAATTAATGTCCACAAACATAGAACCCTCCCTGAATCCTCAGCAACTCTGTACAGAATGAAGGCTTATGTGTATCTGTTTTTAATGCCCTTCTCTTTTAGATGTGAGCGCCCAAAGACTGGGACCCGGTCTTTCGTTATGTTAATTATTTTTTTTTTTCAACGTTTATTTATTTTTGGGACAGAGAGAGACAGAGCATGAACGGGCGAGGGGCAGAGAGAGAGGGAGACATAGAATCGGAAACAGGCTCCAGGCTCCGAGCCATCAGCCCAGAGCCCGACGCGGGGCTCGAACTCCCAGACCGCGAGATCGTGACCTGGCTGAAGTCGGACGCTTCACCGACTGCGCCACCCAGGCGCCCCAAAATTTTTTTATTAAAAACAGTCACTTATCTGGTAACAACACAGATAGAATTTAGGATCAGACGTCGATGACGTTAAAGGCAAATTTCATCTCCAGTCCAGGGTCTACACATCTATATGCCATAGAAGTCTGTCTGTACTCTTGTCCGTCCAGCCTTGGGCTATCCTAGCAATGAAAGCTTCTTCAACGTCCATAGCAAAACCCTACTACTAAAATATAGTGGACAAAAATAGTATCAGCCACATATAATCCCAGTTTTAAATAGGACTAAGGGAACCTCAGTAGCATTCTTCATTTGTTTTCATTCATAGACTTTATTTTTTTAAGCAAAAAAAAAAAAAAATAATAAGCAAAACGTAGAGTTCCCGGGTACTGTACCTCTTTTCGGCTCCTCCGCCATTTCCCCCATTATTATTTTTGTCAATATGTATTTATTTTGACAGAGAGAGAGTGCACGGGAGCACAAGGGCAAGCAGGGGAGGGGCAGTGGGGAGAGAGAATCCCAAGCAGGCTCCGCACTCATCGTGGAGTCCGATTGGAGGTTCGAGCTCACGAACCGTGAGATCATAACCTTAGCCAAGATCAAGAGTCAGTCCCTTAACCAGCTGAGCCAGCCAGGTGCCCCCATGTCCCTCATTATTAACATGTTCTATTCGTGTAATCCTATTCTTTTTATTTTATTATGTTTTAAAAATTAGAGACGATGATTGCTTTGGCAAATAAGAACGTAAGGATTCTAGTGATCTGAAGCAATTGGCTTATTAACTGCTTGTTAGCTACCGACAGAGGAAGTACTTTCATACCATTTACACCCAGAAGAAAATCCTTTTATTTGGTAGAAATTCCCATCTTTAAATAGCTAATCAGCTACATGGGGTACACTTTGCAAACAAACATGATGAGGAAAGCACTAAACTTGTAACATTAGGGTATAGACCAAGGTTCTACTCTTAACCCTCCCCTGGGCCAGTGGGCTTGGCCAAATCTCTTAACCTCTGTGGAACTGTGTGGGATTAGAGAAGCCAAAAGAGGCCTTTCAAATCCAATTTTTCATTAATTTATTAACCCCCTGTTCCCCAAATGAGTGGTAGACTATTTCAGGTGACTCAAAAATTTTTTTTTAATTTACATAGATAGGTTTTTAAAACGTGTACTTAAAATCTAGTGCCTCGGGGCACCTGGGTGGCTCTGTTGATTAAGCCTCCGACTCTTGATTTCAGCTCAGGTCATGATCCCCATGTCGTGAGATCGAGCCCTTCATTGGGCTCTGTGTTGACAATGCGGAGCCTGACTTTAGATTCTGTCTCTCCCTCCGCCCACCCACCATGTTTACACTCCTTCTTTCTCAAAAATAAATATGTAAACATTGGGGTGCCTGGGTGGCTCAGTCGGTTGAGCATCCGACTTCGGCTCAGGTCATGATCTCGCGGTCTGTGAGTTCAAGCCCCGCGTCGGGCTCTGTGCTGACAGCTCGGAGCCTGGAGCCTGCTTCCGATTCTGTGTCTCCCTCTCTCTCTGCCCCTCCCCCACTCATTCTCTGTCTCTCTCTTTCTGTCAAAAATAAATAAACATTTTAAAATATATACATATATATAAACATTAAAAAATAAAAGTAAGGGGCCCCTGGGTGGCTCAGTCAGTTGGGCGTCCGACTTCGGCTCGGGTCACGACCTCATGGTCCGTGAGTTCGAGCCCCATGTCGGGCCCTGTGCTGACAGCTCGGAGCCTGGAGCCTGCTTCGGATTCTGTGTCCCCCTCTCTCTCTCTGCTCCTCCCCCGTTCATGCTCTGTCTCTCTCTGTCTCAAAAATAAATAAACATTTAAAAAATAAAAGTAAAAAAATAAAATCTAGTACCTCAAACCCATGATTTCAGAAATACTGCTTAAGATGAAACTACATTTTGAAAATGTATTCAATGTATGTCAAGTTAAAGAAAATATGATCTACTTGTACAAGTAACAAGGATATGACAAAAACCAGACGTGAAAAGTAACTGAATAAAGTTTGGGAACGCTGGATTAATCAATAAACTAATCCATTCAAAAAACTGTGTCAAACACAGCCTTGTCCCCGAACTCTTCTTTGTAATTTGTATCCTCTAGATAATTTGGCTCAATTAATGAACAGGTAGCTCAGAACTAACAGGGGGAAAACAGTGCAATAAGAAAGGTACTATGGGGCACCTGGGTGGCGCAGTCGGTTAAGCGTCCGACTTCAGCCAGGTCACGATCTCGCGGTCCGTGAGTTTGAGCCCCGCGTCAGGCTCTGGGCTGATGGCTCAGAGCCTGGAGCCTGTTTCCGATTCTGTGTCTCCCTC